GCAGGAGGGCGGGGCTCTCGGGGGGAAGGCAGCGCCTGCCGCGGGGCGGGCGGCTCTCCGCGCCCAGCTCGAGGAGCCGCGCGGCTCTGCGCCCACGAGGAGCGCGTGCCAAACTATCCCTCCTCCTCCTCCTCTCCTACTCCTCCTCCTCCCCCTCCCCTCCAATCCTCCTCCTCATCCTCCCCCTCCCCTCCTCTCCTCCCCCTCCTCCTCACTCCTCGCCTCCTCCCTCCTCCCCCTCCCCCTCCCCCTCCTCCTCCACCTCACCTCACTCTCCTCCCCCTCCCCTCATCCTCCTCCTACTCCTCCTCCTCCTCCTCCTCCTCCTCCTCCTCCTCCTCCTCCTCCTCCTCCGTCTCCCAACTTGTCCTCGCTCGGGCGTCCACTTCCCGTGGATATTTCCTGACTCGTGCGTGCATTTTAATTGCAGGATGACCTCGGATGCTCCTCGCTGGTCCTCGCCGAAGAAAACAAAAAGCGCACACGTCCGAGCGATGCCAAGCCAAGAGAGACGGAAGGGACGGACGAACATTGAGAGGCGAAAATAAGCGACGAGAAGACGGGGAGGAGGACTGGGAAGCGAAGGAGGAGGAGGAGGAGCGGGCGGGAAGGGACGGAGAGAAGGAAAAGCAGGAAGCGGGAGAAAAGGGGGACAGGGGAGGGAGATGAAGCCGTCGAGGAGGGCGAAGGGGAGGCAGGTGACGAGGAAGAGGGACGACGACAACGACGAGAAGGGCACTGCTGGTAGTCTGGTGGAAACCCAGACGGGGAGCGTCTCCGGCGGAGATGCTGCATCATGTTCGCGAGCTGCTCGGTGCACCTGTGCCGCGACGCCAAATATCCTCGACTATCCTACCAACCTTCTTTTGTCGGGTCGGGCGAAAGGGGGGGATAGCAAAGGGGGGGGGTTGAGAATCAACTCACGTAGCTGATTTTCCGGGCGCCTCCCGGCGCCAGAGGCGGCTATTCATCGAGGAATGGGCCCCTCGGCGAGGCCGAAACCAGCTGCATGCAGCAAATTTCGTAACCCCCCTTTCCCAATCCCCCCCTTTCGTCCGGCCCGATTTTGGTAGAGGCATCCTAGACGTCGGGGGTTGCTGAAGGTGCCCCCGGCCCAAGATGCCCCCAGCTCTTCGCCCCATTTTGGAGCGCCCGGAGCCCTCTGGGCCTCGCGAGGGGTGCTCCGCAGGCCGTGGGGGCCTCCTTGGAAACCCTGGGGGAACCTTTGAAGGGGCCCTGGGACACCCAAGTAAATACACACAATGACAGGATTCCCCAATACTTTCCCATATCTTCTGGGGTTCTGTCTTCCCCCCCACTTGCCATATTTTCCCACATCTCCCTGGGAATCGACGATTCAGTGTGTCTGTGTGCTTTTTCCCTCCTGATATTGGCAACACCCGAAGAGAAGGTTGGAAAAGACAGGGTCGGAGGATCCCGCCGCATTGGCGACGCACCGGCGCCTTGCCGATGCATGGGCGCCGTCGGCGCGGAGAAGCTCGGCTCCACGTCGAGCCGCACCGCCGATGCATCGGCGACGCGGCACGATCCTCCGACCCCAGCTTCTCGGATCCCATGTGGGAAGCCTAGATGTTGGGATCTGGAGAACTCAGGTGACTACCTACCAGACCACCCCAACCCAACCCGAAGACCCGAATTTCGGGTTGGGGGGGGTAAGGGTTCCACACGTGTTTTTTCAATGTTTCCCGACCCCCCCCAACTGGAAATCGAGGGTAAATCTGAGCCTTCGGGTTGGGTTGGGGTGGTTTGGTGGGTGGTGATCAGGTCAGCAAGGGTTCAAGAAACTTTGGGGTTTGGCTGCGAAAGCCGCGGCGGGAAGGGGTAAAGCCCCTGAGACCTGTGCTTCAAAAGTCCACTCCTTTCTCAGGGCGATCCCAAAGAGGCTTGGGTGAAATGGGTACCCCTGTAGGGCTTCTCCCCTGAAGCTGGAATTCTCCATACGCCAATGCTTACAATAAGTATGCGCGACCAAAACACTTGTAAAAACGGCCATCCGGCCGCAAGCATGTTATGTCACGGATCCGGTGCGTGTCGGTACGATATGCCGCAATCTTACCTTGCCACATTGCTGGGTTTACGGCGCCGCAGGCTCCCGCATCCAGCCTGCAGATAGCGACACAGCTAACTCCCCGGACCTCTCACAAGGTGCCTCCTGACCAACTGAAAGTCGAGGCGAATCCAGCCTTGGCGACGATGGCCTCCCTGGTGTGAAGCGACTTCGTTCCTCTTCCTGTGCACTCTGCCCCTCCTGTCTGGTTTGCTCTCCTCCTCCTCCCTCCTGCTGCCGCACTGCTGCTGACCGTAGCCATTTGAGGTCAAGGGGCCCTTGAGCCGCTCGCCGCGCCGCCCCGCGGGAAGAGCGCGCGCCCGGCTCTCCCTGGCGGGCATTCCGTTTCCCGGGAGCTCCCGTGCCCGGAAGGCCTTCGTTTGAAACGTCCTCAAGTTGGTTACGGAGCACGTTGCGACCCCTGGCCATTCCGCGCCCGTGATCATGGCTGCCGCAAGATTCGAAGGAAGGTGGTGTCAGAGCGTGTCCTGTACCTGGTCGTCAACAGATCTGACAGTCCTGCGTGGAGGACCTCAGCGCGTGGGTGCTGTCCACAGAGCCGAAGCCGAAACACATCGGTCCCCACATGAAGCAAAGGTAAGTCGCCAAACCTGTTCTTTAAAGGCAATCAAAACTCTGTGGCATGGCTCGGCTGTCTACCGTCCACCGATCCGAAGAACGAGACTGGAGCGACTGCCCCCCTTGGCTTTAACTACTTGTTGGCTTCCATGCAACAAGAAAACAGAACCAGACAACATGACCAGAGACGACATGGCAAAATTGTTTCGCGTTTCGTCTTGGCTATAATACCCCGGAAGGGTGGGAAACTACAGGTGTACGTATCAGAAAGCCTGAAACTCATCAGCTTTTTTGAGGCCAACAAGTTTGTCAACCTGGAAGAGTTGGTCAGATCACTCCTCATAGTGAACGCAGAACTGTCCCAGCACCAACTCAGCAATTTGAGCGCGCGTCTGGACATGGATGCAACCCTGACTGTTAGAAAAGCCCGGTTTGTAATCCAGAAGGTGTTAGGAGACAACCTTTTAGGAAACACCGTCGCGGGCGGATTCACACCGGCCCTGTGGGACGAGCGTGAATGGCCCGACTCTGTGGGAAGAGCCGTCTTACCAAGACCAGTCCTGGCAGGAAGCCAACAGAGAAAACGCAACCCACGGAAACAACGAGGCGTGTCTGAGGAGCGGCGACCCCAACCACTGGGTTTCGCAGTGCCCACACCCATCGAACAGCAAAGGGAAAGGAAAAACCGCCTACACACCTGGCCGGGGCTCAGGCAAAGGCTACGAACGAGGAGCTGGGAAGACAACCCCTGCCAGGGGAAAACAAAGCTATGCTTGCCAGGCTGGTAACTAGGTTTAACGGAAAGCCTACGAGCGGGAAGCCGACCAGCTCACCCAACAGTTCCAAACAGAAAAGCAAAGGCAAAAAGAAAACTACACAGAAACCGTCGGGGAAGGCGATCCACGCATTCACAGCTGAAAACTCCAGCTGGTGGATGGGGAGTTGCGATTGGTTGGGGTATCCTGGCTGGAGCTTCAGTCGCGCCAGCGGCCACGAAAACCGCCCTGGCTCGGATGCCCAACCAGCATGGTCGTTCCTGGCGAAGTACTCTGATAATCGGGCTTCTGAGAACCAGCCGCCGCGACCACCGCGCAACCGGCGGCTGCCGAGCCCACTGCCGCAGCAAGCACAGCAGCCGCGCGCCTTCAGGGCACATCTGCTCGACAACGAACTCGCGCACCTTCGCTTCCTCCAGGAGCAAAGGTTGCCAGAAGCGTCGCGCCAACCTCCCGGCGCTGCCATGCGCCGCGGGCCGCAGGGGCCGCACCGTCGAGCTTGGGCCCCCTGGCTGATGGAATGGCATCTGCGGAGGCGGAGCGCGCTGGACCGGCGAGTTTGGGATCCCCCGCCGGTGGAGGACCCGCTCTGGCCGACCGCGGTCACTCGCCCAGCGTCCCGTCCGGACCGGCGTGCTTGGCCTCCCGGCCGCTGGAATGGGCGGCTCGCGCAGCGTGCCCGTTGGGCACTGGCCCGTTCCGGACAGTTCACTCCGAGGGTTGTCCGCGCCGCCTAATTCGTGCGCGCCAGCTGCTGTGGCCAGCTGATCGCGCAGCACAGGTGCAGGCCGCGCGAGTGCGAGCTCATGCGCTTTGCGCGCGAGCCCGTCGATATGGTCGACCCGCTGCTACGCGAGCCGCGCTGGCGCATGGGCCCGCAAAGCGACGACTGCGAAGGCGAGAGGCGCAACGACGGCTACTCCGACGAAGACGACAGCGACGGAGACGACGAAGTCGACGGAGACAGAAGGGCCGCTGAAAGACCGCTGGACTAAGCCGACGAAGACGGAAAGAACGACGACGGCGACGACGTCAAAGACAGCGACCCTGCAGAAACAGCGATGCCGGGAGGAAGCCTGCATGCCGACATCGCCGTCCACGAAATTATCGTCCACCCTGGCTGCTTTAAGGGCATGGTCTCCGAAGACCGCACCAGCGGTTAAAACAACTCCTCGCCGAGGATTTTCCTGATCTGGGCGCGTCAGAAATACCGTCATCGACAGTGTTTCGCTTCGCCGGGGGCGCGCGCAAACGGCCGCGAGTCTAGTAAACGCGCCCGTTTAAACTCTCAACTCAAGAACCGACCTCGAATAGTCAAGACAGGCATTGGTCCACGAACCACACCTTTCTGTGCTGTCCAAACCGCACTTGGATAACGCGCGTGCCTTTGTCGATTTCGATGAATATACGCTTCTGAAATCGACGCAACAGAGAACTCCACTGAAGACTCGCCTCGCCGGACACTATCTGTTTCCACTCCTTTCCGCACGCCAAAGAGACACTGCGCGCAGAACCTTCTGCGACCACGAAGCCCACCAATAAAGCAGCAACGCACAAACCCAGCGCGGCGCTAGGAAAGCCAGGGCCACTCCAGTTTTCGACGCAGCCTCGCTTGTCCAAGCTGAAACACGGCCTGCCCGCCGAGGCAGGACTGAAGAAGATCCATGATCGACCCGGCCACCCTAAATGTGGAACGCTTGATGCGCGCTCGATGCGTGGACACCAGCCGGAGAACATGTTGGCCGCGAGCGGTGGTGAGCATGCCAACCAAGAGGTATAATAATATCTTGAGCTACGCGGAGTACGACACTTGCGGATCCCTCCCCCGTGCTCCTGTTTTGAACGGCATTGTTGAAAGACGCGATGGGGGTCTTGGAGATAATATTATACAAATTAGCGCATATGTTCATGGGCCACATCGGCACCAGGAAGCTCGCTACCACGGACGTCATGCTGCAAGCGTGTGCTTCCAAAAACGTTTTGGCGCGACTGTGTGGGCTTTCGTTCCAGTTCCTAGCGCCAGGGAGCAACCCTCTCTTCGATGCCATCGACGAGGCAGACCCCCCCCCATGCTCCAGGACCTCCCCGCGGACCCCGCGAGCAGCGCTCAGGCCAGGCTCTCCCTCCAACGGGCCGCGCAGCTGGTGACTATCCGAATCCTGCCGACTTCTGAATTGCGGGAGTTGTTGGATTCGCGATTCGCTGGCACACTCGGCCCTCTGGGTGCGGGGGCCATCGTCTGATTGGGTAGCCGGCGACAACTCCAGACGCAAAACGTCTGGAAAGGCTTGTGAACGACCAGAAGCCGTGCTAGGCATGGAAGATCAGCAAAAAGTGTAGATTCGCACGCAGGATGGACGCGGCATCTCTGCGCACAGGCACAGGGTCCGACCACGCGAGCGGAATGGATCGTGAAACTCCAGGTCCAGGCGCCCGCGCAAGAAGCAACGAACAACAAAGAAGGACACGCTTCAGACGACGCGGGTTCGTCACCGCCACCGCCTCCAGATGCGCCGCCGCCGGCCTTGCCAACGCCACCTCCTGCCGCGCCTGCTCCAGCTGGTTTCCTGGGCCCGCGAGCCTGGGTTTCCAGGCCGCCCTGGGCTCGCGAGCCTGGGCCCCCGGCCGTGGGGAATGGGCCAGCGGCGCCTCCGTTGCCTGCTCCTGCGCAACCGCCGCGGCGGCCTGCCCACTGGCTCGCTGACAGACAACAGCCGCCAACCCGCCAAACGAAGCGGAAGAGATAACACGAAGTAGCAGAAGAGGAGCCTGCCCACAAATCACCAACTCCGCCGCACTCCGACGACTTCCTCGCAGCAGCCAACAACGATACAGACGAATTCTTTTTCGAACTACCGACGCAATTGAGCACGATGGCTGAAGTTGCGGACTGTCGCAAAACAAAAAAAAAAACTGCCCAGACAACGCACAGGTGCCAGGGAAGTCTTTCTTTGATGCTTTGGCCGCGAACACATTAAAGTGAGCAAGACAAATCCCGCGAATGACAACATAAACAGACCCAGTATTCCAGGCACCTTGGCTTCGTGAGCTACAACCTGTGTCGGGCAACTTCGATGCAACTCCGCTTCCTTCGTTTACAATGCGGTAAAAAACCCAACCCAGCACCGCCATTATGTTCGTTTCCGGTTTTGGCTCGTTGCGCGCACTACACGCCTGGGATGCGAAGAAACTTTGTTTGCAAGCGGACGCTTCTGCAGATGCCAACTTGGACGGGGTATTCGCTTGCGTTCGACCACCTGTTGGCGATGAGCTGCCTGGGGGATACGTGCGGCGATTGACACGCGGAAAGGCCCTGTGCGAATTGAGCCGTGCACCAAGGACTCGATTCGTTCACGTGCGGCCCTTCCTCCTAGAACGCGGTTTCGTCCAATCGATTTGGGGCCCGTGCGTGTTTCTGCGCTTCGAGAGCGGGCATTTCCAGGGTTTCGCAGGTCTCCGCGTAGACGACGCATTGATGGCCGGGACCAAAACTTGTTGAACATTATTGAGAACTTGCCAGCTCAATGGGGTGCGCGTAAGTACGGGAGTTTCACTTTCTGCGGCGCGCATGTGCAGGTTGACGCGTCAGCAGTTATCCTTCATATATGTTCCTCAACACCGCTTGCGGCAACAGAATTCTGCTGTCCGCGGAGGTAGAACGAACCCCCCTACGGTAAGGCCTCGGTGAACAGATGTGGGCATCGGACCAAACTGTGCAAGCCGGTTCCTTCAACGTCAGTTATGTGGCATCATAGGCACAACGGTCGACTGTCAGTACTCGGCTCGATTGCAACAACAACGCCCGCAGCATCAATAACGCCCCAATAGTCTTAATGTTCGGCCCACTGTCCAAAAACATATGTGTATATTATTGTGGCGATTCTTCCAAGGGCTCTCCGCCGCAGCGTGGTATGGCCACGCTCGTAGGGGAGAAGCAGTGAGGAATAACGTCGTTACTGCTGCAACGTGCGCTCGGGGAGACGCAAGAGGCTCGGGGAACTCGGATTGGCCCGACGGGGCCATCAACCAAAATGACGAGACTCAGCCTGCAAGCTAACGCGACCTGCCGCTGCAAACGCCCCACGACGCGCTCGTCAAAGGACGCTGGCACACCCGAATTCAGGCTTACTCGAGTCTTGCGCATCCCCGATATAAGCGGACATCAAAAAAAACAAGTCCGCGCGTGCGTCTACACGCTGACAGCCAAGGTCCTCTCGGCAGGAGCCGTTTTGGATGTAAAGCTTGCCACGAAACGCTGGAGCCAAAAACCCTTGAACATGACGGAACCTCCGCGTGGCGTCTTGCTTACCAATAGTTGGTCTTTCGTGACCAATGTCTACTCTGCAACGCCGCACCTGTCGAAACAAATACTCCAGCGTTCCAAAGATTCCGTGAAGCGGTTGTTCCACAGTCTCCAAAACACTGCATCCTTTGTTGCTGATTCTCTCAGCAAGGACACATCCAACCCAGAGAAGCTTTTAGCCCAAATCTGGCCTGTTACACCCACCTTCACCTCAGCAAGCAAACCGGCCATCACACCACCAGCACATGCCAACGCAGCGACGTCTGCCAGACCTTCGCGCTTGGATTTCCCGGCTGAGGGAACGGCGGTTGCCTGCGCCTGCGCCATGGTTGCAAACGGGGAGCTCTGATCTGATGGGAAAGCTTGGCTGGAGGCCTCCCAAATGGGGTCCGAACAGGTGGGGTCGGAGGATCGCACCGCATCGCCCAATGCATCGCCGACGCATCTGCGCCGTCGGCGTGCAGAAAATCGGGCACATAGATCCGCATCGTCCATGCATCGGCGATGCGGCGCGATCCTTCGATTCCATCTGCTCGGACCCCATTTGAGAGGCCTGGACTGGCGCATGCTGTTGGGTGACCCAAAAGTGGGACCAGCTGCAAGAGGGCGGTGCAATAGATTTGGGGCAATTGTATTGCAAATGTCCTGCGCCAGAGAATTGTATCGCACTGCATTGCAACTCATGTGTTGCGCGCGAACATCCAGCAATACATGTGCGTCCCCGAATGTATTGCACGCCCCAGATGTGCTGCAGTCCCACAAATCTATTGCACCAAATCTACTGCATCCTCCCCTTGTCGGGCGTTGGCAGAACTGGGTTTAGAGGAACCTGGTTTAGCCCCCCCCCGTCCCATTTCCACTAACCGGAACTGCCGTCGCCCGAAAGACACCAATGACGGCAAACCTGGCTTAGTGAATCTGGCCAATTGAGGGGCCCCAATAGAGGCCTCCTAGATGGGGTCAGAGTAAATGGGGTCGGAAGATCGAGCCGCATCGCCGATGCATCACCGATACATCGACGATGCATCGACGATGCATCGCCGACGTCGGCGATGCATCGGCGACGTCGGCGTGATTAAAATTGGGCCCCACATCGAGCCGCATCGCCGATGCATCGGCGATGCGGCGCGATCCTCTAACCCTATCTACTCCGACCCCATCCTAGTGGCCTAGACCCAAGGCCCCACCACTAACCGGGTCCCCTTGCCCGGGGTCCTGGCTATACCCGACCTTGTCGCTGGACCCCCTCCTGGGTCAACCCGAATGCTCTGCGGCGAGCGCCCAACCTTGCGAGCGGCTGCGCGGAACACCGGGGCGTAGCTTTATGTCGGGCCTGTCCCCCGACAAGGGGATTTTCGACGAAACAAATACCCCAAGAAGGCCCCAAAAAGGTAACAAAACACGCCAAAAATAATCCCCAGACTATTTTTGGATTATTGTTTGAATATTTTTAGGGTATTTTTTATTTCGGGGATGGACAGGCCCCCCTTTAGTAAAACGTGGTTTAGTGAAAACGACCTGAGGCCCAAACCTGGCGGGCGCAAGCCTGGAAAATAACTGCCACGGCGCCATCTCGAGAACCGAAAACGGACAATTCACTAATCGACGTGTCACTGTTGGGGGTTGTGTCCACCCCCGATTATGTTTTTG